GTAAATTTTACCTGTCTACCGATTTCTGTGTTGATCTTCACATGAACACGGGTGTTCGGTGAACACGGGTGTTCGGTGAACACGGGTGTTCGGTGAACACGGGTGTTCGGTGAACACGGGTGTTCGGTGAACACGGGTGTTCGGTGAACACGGGTGTTCGGTGAACACGGGTGTTCGGTGAACACGGGTGTTCGGTGAACACGGGTGTTCGGTGAACACGGGTGTTCGGTGAACACGGGTGTTCGGTGAACACGGGTGTTCGGTGAACACGGGTGTTCGGTGAACACGGGTGTTCGGTGAACACGGGTGTTCGGTGAACACGGGTGTTCGGTGAACACGGGTGTTCGGTGAACACGGGTGTTCGGTGAACACGGGTGTTCGGTGAACACGGGTGTTCGGTGAACACGGGTGTTCGGTGAACACGGGTGTTCGGTGAACACGGGTGTTCGGTGAACACGGGTGTTCGGTGAACACGGGTGTTCGGTGAACACGGGTGTTCGGTGAACACGGGTGTTCGGTGAACACGGGTGTTCGGTGAACACGGGTGTTCGGTGAACACGGGTGTTCGGTGAACACGGGTGTTCGGTGAACACGGGTGTTCGGTGAACACGGGTGTTCCAAAGAATACCCATTACTTTTATATATAAAATTTAATCATTGTTACACGAAGTATTTTCTCTCATTGTAATGTCTTAATTCTATCCTATTATTCCCCCTCTTCATCCTGTTTCTCCTTAATCCTTCATTCCTTACTACATGGCATCCTGTTGTTGCTTTATTGATACATGTTATGGCTTGTTTTTGATGTATCCTCCTATCTTCCCATCCCCATGTTCTGTTCCCTATATATATATATATATATATATATATATATATATATATATATATATATATATATATATATATATATATATCCTCTCCTTTTCTGATCAGAATGGGACTCACTAGTGAACATTCTGCACCTACATCCGGCACCAAGATAATGTTATTAAAACACGATTAATACAGAATCGAAAAAGGAACAGGGAAAAGGGAGGAAACTCCACCACCATTTAAAACTTTGAACCCAATATCAGAGTAATAAGGTTATCGCGAATAACCGAACTCAATTACGGGCTCACCATAGCCCGTGCTACTTGGACATTTCATTCCGAGTAGCTAAATCTAAAACACCAATCATCTCTCCTCATTCTTCCCATTCCATCTTTAACAAGGAACACGAGATCAATGTCTGAAAGCACTTACCCATTATAACTGTCAAATGAGAGATTCTGCATGTACACACGCACACAAACATTCAAACACATACATACATTACATACGTACATTACATACATGTTGAAAATTGAAAATTTCCACAAAAATTATAGCATAACATGGCTGAGTAACATGGTCTATGAAATCACATAAACCAGGCATAGCTATTTATAGAACAAGCCAAGCTCTCTCAAGAGAGAATGTCAAGTCAGCATATTTCGACAATTTTGTGAACATCATCCCAGTAAAGCATCTTTAATTGATCCATAACATGATATGTAATTACATCTAATAGCTATAAAAATATGGTAATACTCATAATATATGCATATACTTAAATAATTGTTTAACCAGATACGTTTGGATAGCAATAGTATAAATGGATTCTTAAAACAGGTAGGGCAACTAAACCCGCCTTGGTGTGGATCGCATTAGTGTCTAGACGCTGTCGCTTTAGTAAACAACGCTCCTCCACCACAAAAGGGTATCTACATTCGCAGCCAACTAGACTATTGTTGCCAAGCATATGCGTCGGCTGCGCCTACTAACCTACAGAGCCTCGAGGTCATTCAAAACAATGCCGTGCGACTTATATGTGGCGCAATGCATTCCACTCCTATCCTCGGACTTTACGGGAAAACGGGCCTCACAAGCTTAGCCACCAGACATTGTGTGTGCCAACTATCTGTCACTCTGTACCACTGCTCACCAGGCACCCATACAGATAAAAAATTAACCCAACAGTTAAGCCACATAACCCCCCACTTTCCAACCAATCACTCGCAACCTTTCCTCACACGGGCTACAAATAACCTTATTAATATAGACCTCTCTCTACTCCAAAACTCGGAAACCCAACTTACTGTTGCCCCTATTCCATCTTGGCTTTATACAATTCCTAATACATCAATACAACTCGGAGACAACATTCCAAAGTCTGCCCCAAACTCAGCCATAGCCTCAGTTTTTGTCTCAACAATGAAAAATTGCTACCCAAATACTGCATCGATTTATACAGATGGATCTCGCATCATCATGAACAACGTACCCTCGGTCACTAGCGCTGTATGGATACCGGAATACCATATCAAGCAGGGATGGCGGTTACCAAACCAACTATCTGTTTTCACAGCTGAATTATATGCCTTATATCAAGTTCTCCAAATAATCACAACACTACCAATCGGGACATATACAATCTGCAGTGACTAAGAGTGCGATTCATGCAATTGCGTACTCTTCAACAACGTGCAAAGAGTTTGTTTACCCATGTCTTCAACTTCTTCATGAACATCGATTGAACGGTTATGATACCTGTATCCAATGGGTCCCAGCGCATTGTGGTATTCTCCATTATGAACTAGATCAACGAGCCACTGTAGCCATTGTGGTATTCTCCATAATGAACTAGTAGATCAACTAGCCAAAGCAATGCACAACACGCCTCACATTACTCATCATCCAATTCCCCATGTTGCACGTAAAGGAGCCTTCAAAAATACCATCAACCAAGATTTTGCGACGAAATGGAAAACGTCATGCTCACCTTTGTACTACGGGTCCATTAAAAAGAAATGGGAAACTTGGAAACACGTTAGATATAGAAGCAGAGAAATTGATGTAACGATTACCAGATTAAGGCTGGGACACACCAAACTGGCAGCACACAGCTCTAAATACTGAACAGACATCAACGAACTCTGCATCCACTGCCAGGTGCCTAAAACAATCAAACATTGTCTCCTTCACTGTTTCCCACATCATAGTGCCAGAGTAAATTTCAAACAAGTACTTATCTCACTTAAAATACCCTTTACCATGGAGCATATATTAGGAGGCGGTGACCACTCGTTACAAGAAAAATACCAAATAGTCAAAGCACTGGCTAAATATCTCCAGTCGACCAACAAATTGGGTCACATCTGACCCGAGCCACATTTATACCTGGCGCCACCAACAGCTAAACACGGAAAACAACTGCCTCGTCGCAGCCCCATGGATCAGCTGACGCCATAAACACCGCCCTACGGTGCGGCAAGTCTCCCTCTAACATACACCTCTGTAGTAGTCGCCGCTCCTCTGTCTACAGCACAACGCAACAAGCACTTTTGGAACTCTTATCATCCTCAACATAAACGCCTCTACCAACATGTGTACTGGTGCAGTCATCGGGAGGACAAACCCTTCATGCAAACTGCACCTACTATCAACAAGAAGAAGTACAAGTTGCTTGATTTGCAGCCGTTTTACATCCGTGGACCTGAATGGTGGTGTAAACTGCACATGTGAATAAATATTAAGACATGTATCAAAGTAATATAAATGTGTGTGTTGCCATAAAACAGAGGAGTGTGTGGTCACACCGACGCCACACTCCCTCAACACAGTAAACAACTACACCACCACCACATGGGGCTACTCCACGGTCATTCACGCTTAGTTTTAGCCATTTTACAACCGTGGACCTTTAGTTGGCGGTGTAAACTACAAATAAAATTGATTTAAGTGTTCACCCACTGTTTAAAAATGATTGGCGCTTGAAAGATAAAGAAGTGATTGGAGTATGGCCACGCCAGAAGCCAAGAGCCGCAGGAGTCCAGCAGACGCCATTATAACACCACTTCAACATTTGTAGTGAACAACACTACACGCTCTGACCCAACAAAAGAGCCAAGTCTTGGCAAAACAAGGGAGGTTGGTGGTGTAGTAACAAGAGAGATTGAATCCAATATCTTTGTGTCACAACCCCCATTAATTGCTGGTGCGGTTATACCATGAGCTTACGATGTCACGTCACATACGGGCTCACCATAGCCCGTGCTACTTGGAACTTTTTGTTCCAGGTAGCGAATCTTGAACAACATCATTACGAGGTCACCTCGTTAAATGAAAGCACCACCATTCCTGTTGGATCAATCTGAAACAGCCTCCTAAGGAACAATTGATACAGTCCATTACCCCACGAAGAAATTAAGTTTCCTAGAGGCCACTGGATAAATGGATAGAACATGCATAGATAAATGGACTAAATGTATCTTTCTAAATTTATCTTTTTCTATTATAAATCTACTATCGATAGTAGACAGTAGTAAACTATAGACAGCTAAGTTTGCTGTTAGTTAGATCCTTATTTTAGGTACTCAAAGTTAAAAATCCGACAATACATACATTACATACATACATTATACATACATACATACATTACATTATATTCATACATATAGACGGGACCAAAGAGCCAAAGCTCAACCCCCGCAAGCACTAGACGAGTACATACATCCACACCCACCACACCTTATGGCAATCGCACTACTAAGCTTTTAAGAAAGACCTAGTTTGCCCAACAGCCAGAACTATTCTATACATTTCCAAATACATATATTTTTAATTAGTTTACCCATGATACAATGATTTTAACATTATACTGACACCATGAAAATTTTAAGTTAGGCTTAATTCTAGTTAGGGAAGTATTGAGAATAGGTATATTTAGGTTAAGTCAGGTTTCTAGGTTTAAACTCCAATTATAAAAATCCCTATCTTGTATCGGAATAAAAAAGTTTCTCAAAATGTAAGAAAATATGATTTGTTAGCCAATTCTGGCTTTCAGGTAAGAAATATATAAATATAATATTTTTTTCTATATATAAATTTTTATATAAATAAAATTTATTTAAAAATATAAAAGTTATATTTTTTATATATAAATATAATATTTTTTCCTTACTTTTCCTCGTTGTCAGTGGCGGTATGTGAAGCTTGGCCGGCCAGAGCGGACAGACTATCGCGCATGCGCCGACGTTACCATTACTCCCTCCATCTCAGTCCCTTCGGAAGGTGTTCTATCTGACGCAAGCTACGGCTCCACACCCCGCCCGCTGAATGACGCCCCTGCTGCGTCAGAGAAAGTATTCACCGCCTCTCCGACGTCTTTGAACACCACAACTAACAGTCCAAAACCTGAACTAACTACAGCCCCTCCCGTCGTTGTCTCTACTGCCACGCCACCAACACAAAACATCTCCCCTGCCCCGTCAAAACCTGTAAATATAACCTGTCCTGACCTGAAGGTACAGTCAGGCCGCTCGTGTACCTACCGGGCCCCCGGACACGACCACCCCGGCGGCGGCGGCGACGCCATCACTAGCCGTGGGTCGACAGCCCTTCTGGTCTCGGTGATGCTCCTTGTTATTATCTAGGCTGGAGGACCTTGTACTAAGCTCTCCCTCGTGGCGACAGTTTCACAGTCATAATATTTGGTTGGTTCATAAACTATTGTTCTGACGTAATGTTTCCACCGCTAAGGTAGGACTGAACACGTGAAAAATCTTTGAAAACATATTTCAATGTTTAGATATTGATGATATCATGAATGTTAAAGTTTTAACAATTTCCTATCTATAAATTTATAAGTTGTAAGGTATACCCATCTCGCATGAAAATACGTAAAATACGAAAATACGTGACCAATGAATATACGTAAACCTGTAAATTAAATGTAAAGTTCATATATAAAAGGCTTTTAAGTTAATATATGAACTCGCCAACAACCACCAGGAAGGACAACCACAAAATATTATGTTTGTATGTACAAATTTGTGTAATAATAGTTAATGTTAGGTTCTCAGTGTGTATGTTATTTCTAAGTCACGTAACCTGTTGTAGCCTATGGGAGGAGACCTGTCTATGTATCAGCAAAAGTGCCCAAGATAGGACTGAGGAATTTTTTAGTTGTGAGGAAGCCCGACCTTTGTGCTCTTTAATCATTAGTCTTCGTCTGTTTAAAGCCTCGTATGCAGAATCCGAACCAAAGTTTTGAGCAAAGGCAACTTTTAGTGAAGCAGGAGGTACAAAACTACAATTGTTATGTAGATCTTTCCAATAGTAAGATTTTAACTAAGACTGATAAATCTGAGTGCACTGACAACAGGAGTCACTGTTGACCGTTGATGCGAGACTGTCCACGGCCCATTTTGTTTTTTTGAATTCAGCAATTCATTTGGAGTCGGGAGGAGTAATGTTGATTGTGATGTACTGGATTATCGGTATTTAGCCATGCGAGTACCTAAACAAATGGTCGTACTCATAATTTTGTAGGAAAAACACTTTAACAGGAATTTTCTCAATGCAGCAAGCAAGCAACAGCCTATGGGAGTTTGTGGGAAATTCAAAGGTAGTTTCGTTTTCCATTACTCAGCAGATGGTGGAGCAAGGTAGATCACTACTCCATTCCCTCACTGTCAGGCCAACAGTTGCCACAAGTTATGTGTGATATTCTAATGTTAAGAACGTATTGACAAACATTTAACTGGATATGCGAGCTTATTGGAATTATCTTGAGTGACCCATGTATATATATAAGCCTCAATCTGTATTGGACTATGCTCCATACATGTGAAAAGGTAATAAGCAAAGGCAGCTGTACAAGCTGTGCACACCCCTAATGGGGACTTCCCAGCCACCCCTAATGGGGACTTCCCAGCCACCCCTAATGGGGACTTCCCAGCCACCCCTAATGGGGACTTCCCATTAGCCGTCCCTAATTCTTTCTTGGGCACTTGCCTCGATCATCGGGAATTAATTATTGGAGTAGCCCTTAGTATTCTTATCCGTCTCCAAAGAACACAAATGTATCTGCACATTTGTATCGGCAGACTAATATGAGCATGATCTCGCCTGTCATACATTAAAGGAAATATTGCAGGGCGTGAAGCAGTGAACATTATTCTAAAACGTTTGGCCACATTCAAGTCTCCTCGCACAAAGAGGACCCCAAATGTGAAGACCTGTACCTTGCACTATATATTTAATATGAATGCTGACGACTAACACTAACTGACGAAGTGATATTTGAATTATTTCCAACTAAATTTCTGTATTTTGATATCAGTTATTAAAAATTGATGTATTTGCATTATTAACCGGGTGAGATTATGACCGTGTTACCATTATTTAATATTTAAATTAGTGTGCATTTGATTTATGTTAATATATGCCAGTAATGTAGATTGGTACTTTGCTAGTATACCAAGCTTGCAGTGTTGATACCACAATGAGTCTTACGCATTACCATACCAGAGCTGTCTCAAATTATTTTTTGTAGGGTAACATTATCCTAATTTTATCCTTTATTGTAATCACTGGCACTGTGTTAGTAAATGTATATATAGTTTATGCTGTTTTATATTATCCTTTCTGGTCCTTTGACAACTTTTACAATGTGACTCAAAAATATATTTATTCCTTATAGGAATTTAGAAGTAGGTAGTTATGATTTTGTTGCATTTTCAATGTATGGCCACAGGTGAACATTGGAAGGGGCCAGGATAAGGATTTGGAATGTGACAGGGTGAGGGGGGGGGGGGGGGGGAAGTAAGTAATTATCAAAAGAAGGCACCAAACCGGGAAGGTTATGTAGCACCATCAAATGTGCAGAAGATTCAGAGAGCGTTAAATATCACCAAGGATGCCAATACGAGAAGAGAAACCCATAAGGCGAACGATATCAAAAGTATCCGATTCACCAAGAATTCTATCAAGGGACAAGTGACCGTGAGGGACGGTCGGAAAGCAAGACACGCTCGTCCTGGAAGTCAAGACATTCAATGAGGATATGCACGACCGTTAGAGGGACAATGCAATTTGGTCAATAAGGAGCAGGGCGGCGCTCCATTAAGTGACCACGAGAAAGCGCGTATGACCAATACGCAACCTCGCCAGAGGCGTTTCACACCGCCGGTTACGGTGGTAGGAGGAAGGCCATGAGGACACACATCTCTTAAGAGAACGCAGTTTGTTACCAATAACAGAAGACCAACAATTCTGCCAACGGGTAAGGATGGAGGAATGAATAACTGGGTAAAAGTCGGAATAAGGAATACCTTTACAGGAGATGGGACAAGAGCGGACAGTTTCTCTAGCGGCAGCGTCCGCATGCTCATTTAAAGACACCAATATGGCTGGGAACCCAGCAAAACTCAACTGAATTAAATTTACTGGAATTAAGAAACAGCCAATGCTAAACCTCTACGACCATTGGATGGACCGGATTAAAGGACCCTAAAGCCATGAGGGCACTACAAGTCAACGACAACCACAAAGGAAGATTGACAACGAGACAGCAGGAGACGAAGGGCATAGAGAATAGCATAAAGTTCAGCTGTGAAGATGCTAGTCTCCAGAGGTAGGCGACACACAAATGCGGTCAGGAAAAACAACAGAGTAGCCTATACCGTCCGCAGACTTAGACCCATCGGTGAAGATGGAAATGGAGCGGGAGTGCGAAGAAAAGTGCTCAAGGAAAAGGCATTTCAGAACCGTAGGGGAGGGGGGGGGGGTAAAAGCTTTAGTGATGTGGGTCAAGGATGTACAAAACTTCGGAAGGGGGACTCTCCACGGGGCCAAGAAAGGAACAACACGAGGAGAAACATTAGAAATACGAACTGAAAGAGAATCCTGTAAGCGAGATAACCAGACAAAGAGGGAGGTGGTGAAGAGAAACAAGGAACCACAGGAGGGGATAAAAGTTAAAGCACGACAGAGGTGAGAGGAAGGATGTTGCAAGGACTGGGAAAGACAGCGAAGACTGTAGCAATAGCGGCGGTTCTAGAGAGGTCGGAAACCAGTGTCAATATACAAGCTGAGGGCAGGAGTCGAACGAAAGGAACCAGAGCTGAGACGCAACCCAGTATGGTGCAAAGCATCAAGACGGCGTAGAGTAGAAGGAGAAGCAGATGAGTAAGCAGGGCAACCATAATCGAGTTTAGACAAGACGAGAGGAATGTAAAGCGAGGCGAGTGCGCCTATCTGCTCCCCAAGAAGAATGGCACAAAACCTTAAGGAGGGTAAAGGCCTTAGAGCATTCCACTCGGAGGTAAGAGATATGGGGTGACCAAGACAAACTAGTGTTAAAGAATAACCCGAAAAGCTTAGCAGAATCCCTGTACACAAGGGGATGGCCATAAATCGACAGAGGGACGAAGAACGACATGCTTCTAAGTAAAAGTCATAGCCCAAGTCTTAGACGTAGAGAATCTGAAGCCATGATCGGTGGCCCAAGACAACACGGCATCAATCGCAAGTTGAACCCGCCGTTGAAGGAGAGGTGAATCATCACCCCGACAGCAAAGGGCAAGATCGTCGACAGAGAGCAGAGAAGACGCCAGAAGGAAGAGAGGAAAGAAGACCGTTAATGGCAACCAGAAAATAGTAGTGCTCAGAACACTACCGTGGGGCGTACCTTCGTATTGCGGAAAAGAGGCAGAGAGTAACACCAAGCCTTACTCGAAAGGAACAACGAGATTTGAAGCTCTGGAGAAAGAGGGCGATGACCACGAAGGCCAAAAGAATGAAGTTGGGATAGAATATGATATCGCCAGGTGGTGTCATAAGCCTTTTCCAGGTCAAAAAGGATGGCAACAATGGAAGTCTTCGCAGCAAAAGCAGTACGAATATAGACCTCCAAGTCCACCAGGACATCAGTTGTGCTGCGGCACTTGCAAAAACCAAATTGAGAAGGGGAGAGGTGGTGATAGTGTTCTAAGAACCACATCAGACGAACGTTAACCATACGTTCAAAGAGCTTGCAGACAACTCATGAGGACAATAAGGCAGAAATCCTTAGGGGATGTCCCAAGAGACCCTGGTTTCTGGACAGGGAGGACAACGGCATCGAGCCAGTCCTCAGGGACTGACGACGACTCCCAGACCCGATTATACAGACTCAGTAAATACCGAGACGTGCACGGAGGGAGATGGCGAAGCATCTCATAATGAATGATATCGGAGCCCGCCGCTGTGGAACTGCAGAGAGCCAGGGCGGACTGAAGTTCAGAGAGAGATAAGGGATCGTTATTGGGAAGTCGGAGATGGGTGTAGAAATCCAAAGGACGAAATTGAATAGAACAGGTTCATGAAGAAGGAAAGATTGAGGAGGCTGAGAACCAGAGCTAACAATAAAAGTGGGAACCCTGTTCGATTGCAACCTGCAACAGGTCTGCCACAAGGGTACCACGGAAGTAAAGGACCTGCGAGACATCGGGAAAGAACTTACCTTGTGGATACGCTTCCAGATCTGTGGCAGAGGAGTTTTGGATGTAATGGTGGAGACATAAGACATCCAACATTCATGTTTATCCACACGGAAGGTACAACGGGCCACCGCACTTGCCTTCCGAAAAAAAAGAAAAGACTCGGCCGTCTGCCGGCGGCGTTGTCTCTTCCAGGCTACACGTTTACAGCGAACAGCCCGAACACAGTCCACATTCCACCAAGGTACGCACTTCTGCATCCCCCGAGAGGAAGAGCGAGGAATAGAGTGAAGGGCAGCGTCAAAGACGGTGTCATGAAAAAGGAGGAGGGCGCGAGGGAGAGGCAGAATGGAGAGGTCGGAGAGAACAGCATGAAGGGTAAATAGGTTCCAGTCTGCCTTGGCAAACTGCTACCTAGGGAAGGAGAGGGGAGGGTGAAAAGAGAAAGAGGTAACAAGGATGGGGAAATGGTCACTGCCATGAAGGTCATCAAAAACCCGCCACGATAAATCCAAGTAAAGAGATAGTGAGCAGAGAGAAAGATCAAGACAGGAAAGGGTACGAGTCCGAGAGTCCAAATGAATGGGCTCACCGGAATTCAGAAGAGACAGGGAAGAAGAGAGGATGAATGGTTCGAGAAGGCGACCCTGGGTGTTTGTCAGAACATCACCCCCAAAGGGTATGTCGACAATTGAACTCCCCCAGCAGGAGCACAGGCTCCGGCAAGGAGTCCAGGTGGTGTTTAAGATCAGGAAGAGAAAGCAAGATATTCGGGGGGAGATAAATGGAACAAGCCATATACCATGTACGCACAAAGAGACAGGCAGCAGAACATTGGAGAGGTGATGGAAAAAGTAATGGGACGAAGGGAACATCTGAGCGAATCAAGAGAGCAGAATAGTTAGGAACCCCAGCAACAACTGAGGAGAGAAAGGAATAGCCACGGAAGTGACCAGGACGAGCACCAAGCATCGGCTTCCGGAGACAGACACAAAGGGGCAAAAACTGTGAAATCAGAAGATGGAGTTCAAGGAAATTGGCATAATATCCACGAATGTTCCACTGATGAATAGACATCGACAAGAAGAGAAAGAATAGCAACAGAGAACAATGAAGAAACAAAGGTGAAAAGGGAACACAGCACAATAAAGAAGTGCAGGATTAGGATTAGGGTCAGCAAAGTCACGGTAAGGGGGCATGGGTAAACTGAGTAAAGATGGAGGGAAGGGAGTGGGAGGACAGACTAGAGGCGGACGTGCAGGGTCCGGAGGAGGGGGGGACAACCGAGGGTCAAGGACAGCAACAGGAGGGGCAGAAACCAGGAAGCGCTCATCAGCAAGGGCAGTAACCGAAAGGGAAACGGGGGCGGGAGCCAAAGAAACCTCCATAGCAGGAACAGGGGGCACAACCACCGAAACAGGAAGGGATGGAGCGAGAGGGGTAACTGGCGAGGAAGGATGCGAAGCTTTCTTACCCGCCGGGGAGGAAGGTGGCGAGCCAGGCTTTCGCTTCTGACTCAAGAGACATGCGTCCCAGCAACAACGTACTGGGCAACAGACTCCAGCGTCTCAACAGGAGAAGAAGAACGAGAGCAAACTGCACGATGACCGCTGGGAGTGACGGACATCAGTCCGCACAGACAGGCGGCGTGGAGAGCTAAGAGATGGAGGAGAAGGATGGAAAAGGAGGATTGGAGGAAGACTAGGGAGAAGACACAGGAGATATGACAGACTGGGTAGAAAGAAGAGGAACCCCAGACAGAGAACTATGAGGGGGGACCCTTCAGGACAGAACTTAAAGGAACAGAGGTGGTGGTGGTGGTGGGCGTGTCTGGGTCTAAGGCCTGAAAACGGTTGTGAGACTGAGAAAGGTGGGAAGGACGAGGAGAGGAAGAGCGCAACACGCAAAAATAAGAGACACCAGTGAAAGGGGGGAAACGGCGAACTTGGTGCCTCACCTCAGGAAAAGACGAACGTTCCCAGTGCTTCAAGGTGAAGACGGCAGTCTCAAGCGTGTGATGCCCAAACCTCCAGTACTTATTACAGAGCCGAGGAGAGGAAGTGTACTCCTGGACAGAGCACCTGGCACCAGCAAGAATGACAGAGGGCAGAAGGGTTCTACCATCAAAGGTAATCTTCGCAAC